TGATATTCTTATCTATAGGACTTTTATTGCTTAGAGTYTTCTCGTTTGTCATTCCTATAATCTTCATTGTTGATTATTTCTTTGGAGACATTCTTCGAGATCAGTTCACATGTAAAGAAGCTAATGCTAATAAAACTATCCAAGGAATCTCAAAAGAGAAACTYCTTGAACTATGCCTTCCSACCTTTGGCCCTAAAATSGAGAWAATGTTTCAAGTTACCTTGTCGTGGCTTGCGGCATTTGTCATTTCGTACTACCTTAGCACTGTAGTCAGAAACCGAACGCCAAAATACCTTTTAACGGTACTCTATCGCCTGTCAGGATTTGGATTGGCCATGGTTTTTCTTCCTTGGTTTCTGGAAATGTATCGAAGCTTTACACCTTCCTGGYCCAAGTATTTGTTACTGATAGTGATCGTGGTAATATGGCTGTTTTTTCCTGCATTAAGAGAAAAYGCATTATATGCGTTATTTATTTTCCTGTTCGCGTACAGTATAAAATGGTATGTTTATGAGACACCAGTAGCTGATGTCAAATATACACACGAGCTGTACATGATGCTGGTTTGGGTTTCAGCGGGTCTTTTGTGGATTCATCCATATTTGGGAATGCTGCAGATGTTTGGCTCTCATCTATTCGTAGAGTAAGTCAAATACCACTTTCTCATCGTTTTAAAAAAATCGAGGGTACAATGGGTACTGGTACACATGATAGCATTTGAACAGTGTGCCCCCCCCCTCCCCTCCTCGTCAGATATTTCCACCCCTTAGTACATAGGCCTTTGCATTGCATTCTGGTGTAGATTCGGTCCAAAAATCTTTTGTTCAGGCTGCCAAATATGGCGTAGTTTGTATTTGAAGACAGAACACAATGCACCATGATTTTGTATTTCAGAAAAGGTCTATWGACAGTGTTTTTTCGTCTATAAGAGTTTTAATGAAACTTTTTGTCACTTCCAGGTGGAGACTAATAAGGACGTATTTTTCTGATGAGAGTAGAACGGCTGGCATTTGGTTCAACTCTTCCCCTTTAACTTTGGCGGACTTGAAGGGCATGCAAKCAGAATARCAATCKAACGTTACKGTTAATAACTGGCGTAAAACAAACGCCCAATARGAAAAGGACTACGAGGTMCTCACCCTCTCCCCCACCGTCATTGAGAGGATAGATCGCAAGCAAGATGATGTAGAGTTTAGTTCAAAGGGATTTATCACACCAAAAGACATTCGATTGTCTTCTGCTATGATCACATCTGCTTCCGCATCGTCATACGATGATGGTAAATTGAGAGATTCTAATAAATCCTCWCGCGAGATAAGAATTGCATTTGGTCTTGGATATGGAAACAATTTAGTAGTACAGAAAGGACTCACCAAACCCTGGATGCCATGGGTAAATTACAACTATGTTAAAACATGATTATGTCAAATTTTTAAGATATAAGGCGTGTTATCATTGGCTGGTTTTGTACTCGAATGTGTGAATATACGAAAAATTATAAAGATACAAAAAAGAAACATTTCAAAAAAGAAATATAAAACAGTCGCTTGATTGTGTCTCAGTTCTCTGACATAAACACGGTGCAAGATGGAGAGCTTGCTCGACAAGCAAAAGGAACAAACCCTGCCCTCTCGTGTTCCTCTCTTATGCTCTTTCTCTCCCATCAAGTTTACTTCAAAAAACAGAGAGACACAAGCAACCGTTTTATATTTCATGAAAATGAAGTTGGGATGGTTTTAAAGGACTTTTCATTTGTTGTTTTTAGGTCGTAACCTCATTTCTTCAAGTGGTTTTTGGCTTCATTATTATTTCAATCCCCGTAGCATTACACTTCAAAGTGCTAGAAGATGTTGATTATTGGTACAGAGTTCTGATGTTACTGCTTATTATCCTATTCTTGCTTTGTGCTTTGATTGCCATAATGCCAATTGGACGGAAAGGATTCATTTCCACACTAACCAGGTACCTTTGAARTCCTCTTGAGTGCCACCATCTTTCCTTTCATGTTGATCTGACAAGCATGTATATGAGAGAGTATAACATCACAAYAAGGTTCATAGCTTTMGGGAAAAGACGTKTAAAAGCCGCGATTTATTCACRCAGTGAATCAAAAGGGTCTTAATTCTTTGTCTGCCTTTTGTATTGTCAACCCTCACATGTATATCATCACAATCTTTGCCTCTAGATATCCATTAAAATAACTTATTTAAGGCACAGGTTACCAATAGGCTTCATAGAAAGCCGTTTTCCTAAGACTTCATTATACCTTATTGCTTTATCACTCAAGGTCTACATATACTAAGGGAGATGTCATTGATAGAATAAAGCTATAAGAACAAGAGATTTTGAAATTCCAAATAGTCATATCATCTCTGTGAACTACTTATTTAAGCTGCCTGGAATTCAAAACCGCATTTATTGTGACTTTCAGGTGGTGCATCATCAACATCCTTCACGTGAGACTCATGCGAACTATATTTGACATAACTGATGTCGGACCCACACCCCCTCCTGTCRTGTCTCTCAGRGATGGCGGTCACACMGAGAARCTYGGTCTSCTTCCTCTGCTGAAACTCCGCCTGCCACGTATRGTGYTCGTAAATGGAGGTGCCGTGGGACGTGGTAGGAGTTATGCRACAGATCTTCTWAAAGCTATAAAGCAAGCTCGGGAGAAGCTACGATGCTCTTTTTCTGGACTRAGTGGTCGGGACATTGTCGAGGATATTCGTGATCATTTCGTGGAAACAGAAAAGGGTAAACAGCCGAGAAGTTATCGATTCAAGATTCAGTATTATGAAAAAGATGGTTATGAKAGCAAGCTTGTTGGTGAAGGAGAGGTTTTGATMTTAATGCCAAGACACCCAGACGATGGAATMAAACAATTTCAAGATTATAAATGGAGTGATTTTGATGGTGACGTCAAACTAGATTTGGACGAGTKCCTTTGGGGTCCAGGACCAGCTTTGAAGACCTCAGAAGCWGATCGTKTGTCAGGWTGRTGCTGTGAATGRTGTCACTSGAAGCCATTCAATTACATRCTGAAATTTGCGATGMCTGGATTTCCTTTTAATTCGTCGTTAAATCCAATGTACACTCCCTCTCAGTTTAGTGCATACCACAGGGAAGGCTATCACGCATGCGTGGAGGCTGAAGCAGAAAAATTTCTTGAAAAAGATCAAAGTCTTYAGGTTGTTACAAGTCAACCTCAGGGCTTCCCCACACCGACKACAGTAATAGACGTTACAGAGTTTTGAAAAGTATTTCATGCCTGATCGTAATGTTAATCGATAAGTAACTTTTTAGTATTTGGACAACATGTAGAAAACTATGAATACCAAAAAGGCTGCATTGTTCATCACTAACGTTAATATACTACAGTTATAAAAGATTTTAAAGAATTCCGATAGACAAATTAAAGCGAAGTAAAGTTTTCAATTCTAAGTTTTAAAGAATTACTTAGAACAAGTGTTTTATATTGCGCAGGTACCCGCCTTTTAATTGCAAACCCGCCAAATTCCAAGAACGACATTGTGGTTTAAAGTCTACTTTCAGTTTTAAATCTTTCTTTTCATACTATCTATTGAGATTTCATCAAATATTTAAAGGGATTATYAATATATGCATAAATATTCATATCTATACTGACTTGTTTAAAAATATTAGTCATAATAATGTACAGTTCTAAATGGGAATTAAATATTAATGCTTAAACTTAATAGAGTCACATTATGAAACAATTCCTTCAGCAATCAGTTCTTACAAAATGGAGTCACTTTGTGATCATAAAACTGGTTTAGCGTTTTCTGGCGGTGGAGTCCGWTCAGCAGCCTTCTGTTCTGGTGTCCTACGAAGATTACTACAAAAGAGAGTCACCATCGACTTTTTGAGTAYCGTGTCCGGTGGTGGATACACTGGGGCGTCGTACATGGACTGGAAATACCGTAACGGGAAAAAGGARGATCCAGCCTGGCACAAAGAGTACTTTGAGAATTTACGAAAGTACTCCAATCAGTTTTGTGATTGCTTTAATCCACTCCGGGGAATTGTGGATGCTGTTTTCTTGGTGGTTGTTCTACTCTTTCTGTCAATCGGACTTTCCTTAATCAAAGCGTTTTCATTCATTATCCCAGTAACCTTCATTGTTGATTCCTTGTTTGGAGACACACTTAGGGATCAATTRARGTGCTGTAATGCGGYTGAAAATAGAGTATTCGAAGAAATTACTCGACAAAAACAGCTCAAATCAACTCAAATCCCAAACTTTGGTCCTGAAATTAAAGAATTGCTCCAGATCAGCCTTCCTATGCTAYCAATGTTTGTTATTTCCTACTATCTCACCACAGTAATACAACYACGAACCGTGAAATATTTCCTTACTTTCCAGTATCGCATATCTGGGTTTGGTTTTGCTATGGTTTTCCTCCCTTGGTGCCTGCAACTGTATGAGTACTTCGCGGCACCTTCATGGGTTAATTATGCTGTATTAGGGTTTTTCTTTMCAGTATGGATATTTATTCCTTCCTTGAAAGACGAGGCCTTTACAGCACTGATCGCCTTGGTGTATGCTTACGGTGTTAAGTGGACCGTCTTCAAGACTCCGTTAGCTGGGGTAGAATACACGGATGAACTCTACTGGATGTTGGTTTGGATTTCAGTGGTATTACTCTGGATCCATCCGTACCTAGATATTTTACAGATGTATGGCGCTCATCTATTAGTGGAGTAAGTATAACGGCAAAGTTATACATGCAAACATTTTACTCGTATATTAAGAATATCTTAAATAAAACACATACAAACTTTACAGCATATAATTATCGACAAAATCATTTGTTTCCGTTCAGATGGAGGCTGATGAGGGCATTATTTTCCKCTGAGAGTAAAGCGGCGATCTGCTGTCACTCAACTAAAGGAAAGAAGCCTTTAACTTTGGCGGATCTGAAAGAAATGCAACCAAATTTCGAATGCAGCGTAACAGTGAATCAATGGCGTCGTAGTGATAAGTCTGAAAAGGACTATGAGATACTCACCTTTTCTCCCACCGTCATTGAGCGRATTGATCGTAATSAAGACGAAGTAGATTCTCAATCAAAGGGATTCATAAAACCAGAAGATCTTCGACTCTCTTCTGTCATGACAACGTCTGCCTCTGTTTTCGCATATGATGATGGTGAATATCAAAAAATTCACGACAATACGCGTGAGATAAGAGTGGTACTTGGCTTTGGGTTCGGGAATCATTTGGTGGCACAAACTGGACTCACCAAAAACTGGATGCCTTGGGTAATGCATAAAAACATTTTCTTGAAAAACCTCATTCACATATGTGACCGAGAAGCCTTCTCAATAGCACCACTATGAACATTATTTGACTTAAACTTTTTTCATTTTTTTTTAAGGTCGTAACATTCTTTGTTCAAGGGATATTCGGTTCAGCGATCATTGCCTTTCCCATAGCATTGTACGTTGGAACAGAAAAWTTGGATTTGCGTATATGGAAAATCGTCATGTTGGTTCTRCTTGTGTCTTATTACCTACTTTTCGGCTTTATTGCTATATTGCCGATAAGAAAAAAAGGAGTCTGTACAACATTAATCAGGTATTATTTTGTATATATAACATATATCAGTCCCACACACTACCTTCTTAGACAGTCTTATTGTAAATTCAAGGTGGTGCATCATTAATGTCCTTCCTGTGAGGATCCTGAGGACMCTYTTCGACATAACTGATGTTGGAARCACACCTCCTCCTGTCTGGTCTCTCAGCGATGGCGGTCACTCTGAGAARCTGGGTCTGCTTCCACTGCTGAAACTCCGCCTACCACGTATRGTGYTCGTWAATGGAGGTGCCCTTTCAACTGGTGGAACATATGCCACTTCTCTGCTTGATGCGATGAAACAAGCTCGGAATAAGCTAAGGTGTTCTTTCTCGGGGCTCAGCGGTCGGGACATTGTCGAAGATATTCGTGATAACTTCGTAGAAACAGAAAAAGGCAAACAGCCGAGGAGTTATCGATTCAAAGTTCAGTATTATGAGAAAGATGGTTATGACTGTAAGCTTGTTGGTGAAGGCGAGGTTTTGATGTTAATGCCAAGACACCCAGACGATGGAATGAAACAATTTCAAGATTYRAAATGGAGCGATTTTGATGGTGACGTCAAACTAGACTTGGACGAGTCCCTTTGGGGTCCAGGACCAGCTTTGACGGCGTCCGAAGTTGATCGCCTGTCAGGATGCTGCTTTGAGTGTTGTCATTCCAAGCGTTGCATCCCAATTCCTTCATTGGGAAAATTTCCTTTCCATGCGACCCTAAACCAGTTGTTCACGTCCTCTCAATACACCGCGTACCACAGAGAAGGCTATCACGCATGCGTTGAGGCTGAGGTAGCCGAGTTTCTTAACAAATGTCGAAGTAGCGAAGTCGTCACAGTTCAACCTCAAGGCACTGAATTTAAATCCTAATTGATTGACGTTTCGATGGAATTTTGTGAGACATTATTATTATTATAAATGAGTCTATTTTAAAACTATTATAGCGCAACGAGAATCAATATTGGACTAAAGAAAATATTAAAGGATTGAAAATATCTAGACGTTACACATTGTACTATGAATCTTGCGTATCAAAGATGAGAGTGAGCGCTGCTCCCATGAAACAGCACTGTAGTGTTCATAAGCCTCTTAGTATTCATTTTTTTTAAAACGTCTAGACGTTACACATAAATAGTTGCTGTTTATGCATTTTAAGACTTTCCAAGCCTAATGAGTTACAGAATTGAGTATGTAAAAAGATCATTTAACACCGCAAAAAAGTAGGTGAAAATACTTACTGACGTTTCGGACGTTAATCATCTCAGAACAAGGTACTTTCTGAGGAAGTTGCKTCAGTAACCCTATTTTAAGAGTTTGTCTGGTCTAAACATATATACAAACAAGCATCCGTCACAGTCAACTGGCCTTGGTCGTCAGTTTAATTTGGCTACGGCAACCAAAACAAGCAAACCATGATTCTAGTGATCTCCGACACTTGCGTCAATGTGATCTCCACATTTTATGAAAAAGCCCTGGGTTCTAGCGGAATGCAGATTTCCACTTGATGTGATTGACGGGTCATTGAAGCAAGACTGAAAGTATTCAACATAGTCACGGCTAAACTCTCTGCTGCTTGATTTGATTAAAGAAGTGCTACTTGAGGTAAAAAAACAGTAAAATACATAAAGTGTAATTCTTGTATGTTTTAGGTATCATAGTTATATTTACAGTGAATGGTTGACCCTAGAATTGTGTAAATAGTGCATTATGGATGCCTAAGTCATAATATGTAGTATACAATAACAGATATGCGTTACAATCTTTTAATACCAAAACTAACTATGTTACCCTACRGAATCTCAGTCAGTAATAGTCTATAGTTTCACTAGATCAACTATTTATCAATTATAACACAAATGTAGGGCCATAAATTATAGTTTAAATCAGTTTCGCGAGGCGTTGCCACCGTGACCACCAAACCCAAGATCAACCCTTAACCTTTGTTTATGCTCTATGAATGAAGTCATTTGCTTCAATTGTACCTAAAGTCTTTAATAACGAATTAAAAAAAGTTTTGGTTTAATCACCTAAAAGCTTATGTGTGAGGTAGGAGATGGATATTATTAGCAGGTTTTTGCTACAAGGAATACACCGTTAGTTATACATTTTATATATACAATATATTTTATATTCTACATCTGAGCCGAAGGAAAGTGCTTATAAATATCTTTGTTGTTAAAAAGATTAAATAGAGTAATTTCAGTTGTTTATTTTCTGCGAGTTTTTTTTTTAAATTTTTTAGTTGTAAATATAAGGTTAAAATTTTTCTTTTATCCGGCGATAATAACTTCATCCATTATCCTTTACTTGCAGCAATTATCTTAGTTCAAAATGGCTTCACCAAGTGATCATAAAACTGGTGTAGCGTTTTCAGGCGGTGGAGTCCGATCAGCAGCCTTCTGTTCTGGTGTTCTACGAAGATTACTACAAAAGAGAGTCGCCATCGACTATTTGAGTAGCGTGTCTGGTGGTGGATATACAGCCGCGTCGTACATGGAATGGAAATACCGTCACGGCAAAAAGGACGATCCAGCTTGGCACAAAGAGTACTTTGAGAATTTACGAAAGTATGCTAACCCGTTATGTGATTGCTTCAATCCTCTCCGTGGAATTGTGGATTGTGTTGTGTTGCTGCTTGCTCTTCTGTTTCTATCCGTTGGACTTTCCCTGCTTAAAGCCTTCTCGTTTGTAGTTCCCATCACCTYCATCATTGARCTCTTTTTTGGTGACATTCTTCGGAACCAATTTACRTGCCGTAAAGCGAATAATAATAGCACAATCGAAGGGATTCCTAAAGCTAAACTACTTAAACTATGTCTGCCAAGATTTGGCCCTAAAATGCAGGATATGCTCGAGATAATCCTACCCATGCTTCTTTTGTTTTTACTTTTRTACTATCTCGCCACAGTTATACAACGACGAACAATGAAGTACTTGTTTACCTTCCTCTATCGCGTATCAGGATTTGGATTTGCTATGATTTTTCTCCCTTGGTTTTTGGAAATGTATGAATACGTGACACCGCCGTGGGCCAATTATTTTTTTGTTGGTTTGGTGTTTGTASTTTGGATTGTGTTTCCTTCCATGAGAGACGGAGCTTTTATAGTTCTTGTCATCTTAGTGTACGCTTACTTTGTTAAGTGGACAGTCTTTAAGACTACTTTAGSTGGTATAGAATACACGGATGATCTGTACTGGGTAATGGTTTGGATATCAGCAGTACTTTTGTGGATTCTTCCGTACCTTGGAGTATTGCAAATGTATGGTTCTCATCTTTTCGTTGAGTGAGTATAAGTTGTGTTTATGATAAGTTTCGTATACATTATATCACATCGGTACATCTTATTATTGCAATTCAGCACATTCTTTTGACCTTCATATAGGAGGACGTCCTCCCCAATCTTCGCTCACCCCCCCTCCCCAGTCTCCTTAGAGCCGCTACGCATGCTTCATAGGGCACATAAGATGCTATAGATTCTCTCGTCTCAGAATGTTACAGCACTACATGCCACAGCAGCTTCACCTTAGGAAAGGATGTTATATATTGCACCGTATAATATCAGATATTAACTTAAATACAACACAGTATGCAATAATCATACATTGAATTATTACACAGATGGAGACTGACAAGGGCGTATTTTTCTCCTGAGAGCAAAGCGGCGTGCTGTTGGTCCACTAAAAATGAAAAGCCTTTAACCTTGGCGAACCTGAAGGGCATGCAACCAGACTACAAATCCAACGCAACAGTTAATAACTGGAGCAAAACAGGCGCCCAATCTGAAAAGGACTACGAGGTTCTCACCTTCTCCCCCACCGTCATCGAGAGGATAGATCTCAAAAAAGATGAAGTAGAGTTTATGAGATCAGAGGGATTTATTAAACCGAAAGACATTCGACTTTCTTCTGCTATGACAACATCTGCTTCAGCTATCGCTTATGACGATGGACAATTGCAAGATTCCAATAAAGCTTCCCGTGAGATAAGAGTTGTTCTTGGATTGGGAATAGGAAACAATTTAGTGGCACAGACAGGAATCACTAAAGTATGGATGCCAGGGGTGAGTATAAAGACTCTCCATCACCTATCAACAAACTTCACTCACCCTACATAAACATATCAAACGTTTTTCCTGTTTTTTTTTCTTCTTTTTTCCCTTATCTGCATTTTAGTTCATAGTCTTTACTTATAGAGCTTATACCTGATTGGCCAAACGAGATGGGCCATATTTTGCTTCCCAACTTGACCCATATTGTCTTTGCTAAGCGCTTAAAATCTTCATTTCTTCCAATCTAAGGTTGTTACCTTCCTGGTTCAACTAATCTGGTTGATTGCAATTCCCACTGCACTGTACATTGGAACGGAAGACGACTCGACGTTATGGAAAACTGTTATTATGATACTGATTGTGTCATATTTTGTCGTTTTTGGTTTGATTGCTATAATACCAGCAGGAAGTAAAGGATGTTGTGGGATATTAACCAGGTAAGATACATMTTATATATCTTATACATATCTAAAATTCTCAAAGTATTCGAGTGGTGCAAGTAATATGTAAGTATGTATAACTGTCTTTTWACGACATTTCCTGAACAGGCATACTGATAACTAGGATGTCATCCCATTTTCATCAGTATTAAACTTAATATATGTGTATTTTATGGATTTTAAGGTGGTCTATCATCAATATCTTCAACGTAAGGCTCCTAAGGACGCTGTTCGACATTACTGATGTTGGACCCACACCCCCTCCAGTCTTGGCACTAAGTGACGGTGGTCATTCTGAGAACCTGGGACTGCTTGCATTGTTCAAACTCCGTCTACCACGTATCGTGGTCGTGAATGGAGGTGACTTGGAAAACGGTGGGAATTATGCCACTGATCTTCTTCTGACTTTGCAGCAAGCTCGGGAGAAGTTACGTTGCTCTTTCACCGGACTCAGTGGTCGTGATATTATCGAGGATATTCGCGATCATTTTGTAGAAAAGGAAAAAGGAGAACAACCGAGGAGTTATCGATTTAAAGTGCAGTATTACCACAAAGATGATTTTGAAAATAAGTGTGTTGGCGAAGGCGAGGTTTTGATGTTAATGCCAAGARACCCAGACGATGGAATGAGTCAATTCCAAGATTACAAATGGAGTGATTTTGATGGTGACGTCAAACTAGACTTGGACGAGTCACTTTGGGGACCAGGACCAGCTTTAAAGGCCGCTGAAGTTGATCGTTTGTCAGGTTGCTGCTGTGAATGCTGCCATTCCAAGCGTGCCAGTGACATCCTAAGTCCTTTTATGGGTGGATTTCCTTTCCATTCAACGGTAAACCAGTTGTTCACGTCCTCACAGCACACCGCTTACCACAGAGAAGGCTATCACGCATGCGTAGAYGCTAAAGCAGTTGACTTTCTTAACAAATATCAAAGTGTCGAAATTATTACTAGCCAACCACAAGGCACTGGCGTCCAAACCACTTTGATAGACGTTACCGGAGTTTAAAAGGKCAATTTATGGTACAAAGCCATTACTCGAACTAAGAATTGCTATGGAAAAAGAAACTGATACGTAAAATATTGAAAGTTTGGTAAATAGTAAATAGCCGATTTGCAATTTCTCCTCAGCAGTCAAACATAAAAGAATCAAGACGAGGCACCGTACATAAACCTCAGTCGGATCGTGAAAAACTCACTTTGTCTTTTCACGGTTGACAGAGCTGTATGCACGCCATCTTGTCTTGATTTCTTTGTGGAAGCCCTACAGAGGCAAAATTTGCAAGTCGGTTATTCAAAAGCTGTAGTAGCGCTATTTGTCTAGTCAGTTTAGAGTTAAGATCCACCCGGTTGTAACGACTACATTGGCTCATGCTGTTCCTGCTGACGATGTGGTGTCTARGCAATACTATCGCAGTGATTTAAAGTATTGGGCCAACGTTTTTTTTTATAGCAGTGTATAAATAGTTGTAAAATAGGCAAGTCAACAAAAGAATTGATTAGCCATATAAAGTTCATCTTGCGTCCCTTTTTGATCCCAGAGTGGTACTGTWCTCGTCAAGTAAAYAGCATTGGAGATTATTGCTCAATCATCACTTCTAACTGTCCTATAATCATGGATTTCTATCTCCCAAAATCAGGCGTTTTGCATTGTTGCTGTTTCTCTTAAGGAAACCTGAACAATAGAAATTGCTGTTTCGAACGATTGGCATGATCCATGCAGAATATCATACGAACGCTAGACCTAATTAGTCGGACTAGCCGAAGGCTACTTGAGTTTTACCTTTTAGTCAATCTATCTATCATGTCGCGTTTGGACCACCGGAAGTTAAGAATATTATAATTAACTATTGGGTTGGCTGTGTTATTACATGACCAGATCGAAGCTCAATCGTATAGATGTACGAATATAGTTAGTAAACGTTATATGCTACTTGCYCTTTTATATGATAAAAAAACTATTCGTTTACAAATGTGGTATCTGTGATCTCATCGGAATACATCAGTCTAGGCATCATAAGTACGCGCATGTGCAGTTCGCATGGTGCTTCGAGTAGTATGCTTACGAAAGTAAATCAATGACCTTTCTAGTGTTAGGCAGTCTTTGTTTGGGCAAAGAATTCAAATTAGAACAAGAAGAAACTTTGTTTATCAATAACAAAAAGACGACTTTAATGCCGGATTTTATAGGTATCGTTTACTTTGTAAAGTATTTATTTTCTTGGCCTGAGAGGTCAACGTATTAGATTTCATGATATTACATTTTGTCGGGTGTTACTTTAAAGGCGAAACGATGAAACAACGAAACAAAGAAATGGCGAAACAATACAACTACCACAATGTACCATACATGATCCGTGGATTTCATTTTTGGCTATTTCGAGTTTTAATAAAAGAAAACTGCTGCGGGCTATTAAAATTAAAGAAAAATTAAGAAATATATATTTTAATCTAATTTTTATATTTTTATGTAATATCCTGTCTTTCTCAATTAGTTTCAAAAACAGCTAGTCCGACTTCACGCTCTAAGAGCGTCTAGTTTTTATTTTATTTCTAATCCGGTCTCAAAATCTCTCCGATTTCAACTCAACTAAAGCAAAACCAATAAGATAAAAATACGCATTGATCAAACACAGAAAAATGGCTTTGGTCACACGATAAACTGTAGGCTTTTTACCGACAGTAATATTCTGACAAAAAAATAACACAAGCTTATATCACCCCCAACAAAGCCTGATACAAACTGTGACTGAAGGTCATTCTTGGCAAACTGAGATCACGCCAAAGAGTTGTTTTAAGCTTTGAGAGTACACTTGATCTCCTTGCGTAGAGAAGAAAAAATGAAAGTCCAATTTCTCTTACTTTTTAATAGTCAATACTAGCCAATTYCCTTCTAAGTTCAGAAATATCTAATAGTTATTAAAGCTCATTGTATCGTGACTTTGACTGATTTATGTAAATTAGCAATATAAAACGTTTATTGATCGACAGATTTTTTTTCAAAYGSCTACACYGCAAGTCTGGCAGGTACAGTTTAAGTGTCGACAGGGTCATCGAAGCAAGCAAGACGGACCTACTTATTGCTTGCTACTTCTAAAGGTATGATGCCCTGAGTTAGTAACCTTCCGAATTATTCAGTATGTGTGCGTCTGTCTATCTAATTAGTGTGTCTTGTCTGATCCTACATACTAATATAACCAGCATATGATCTACAAGAGTACACCGACTTCGGATCACAATAGTTTTAAAGGATCAGGGATCATGAAGAATCAGAGATCATTTTAATGATCTGCTCAGGAATCATAATATTGTCGGTTTTTTTTAAGATTTTGGAACCAGGGATCAACGTTTTTTTGTTTCAGTCGGACATCACGGAGTTATCACGGCCTTTTGAAGATCAGCTACTGTGTTATTGTTATCAGTGAAATATAGGCGAAATTCTTGGCTTTTTTCTTTGTCCTCTTTTAAACAAGACAGAAATCAGAGTGCAGGGAAAGTGAGCTCAGTCGAAGAGACTATAGTTTGACAAAATCAACAATTGAACGATTGATAATACATGCAAACACATGGCAGCGCCCTAGACTCGTGATTAGTTGACCTTTGCATAATGTTACTATCAATATTRATCGCAACGAGCATGTTTCGAGTGTAAATTCCCCGAAGAAAGTTCGAAATGTTTAGTTTATCTCCTATTAAATAAGTTAATAAGGTGATATGCATGCTGCATTTCGATGTATTGCTATTGGGTAGTATAACTTGACTTGAATACAGTGCTTCGGTGCATGTCATTTGTTGATGCCCACCTGACAGCAGAATGAAACCACATGGTTGATCTCTCTTGGTCTTGACAAGATACCTCATCGTTATAATCTTTCTTTTTCAGTTATCAAAATGGCGTCGCAAGTTCTAGACAAAACAGGTGTAGCGTTTTCTGGCGGTGYAGTCCGTTCAGCAGCCTTCTGTTCTGGTGTTCTACGAAGATTKCTACAAAAGAGAGTCYCKATCGACTATTTGAGTAGCGTATCTGGTGGTGGGTACACAGCCGCGTCGTACATGGACTGGAAATACCGTKACGGAAAAAAGGATGATCCAGCTTGGCACAAAGAGTACTTTGAGAATTTACGAAGTCACTCTAACCCTCTYTGTGATTGCTTCAATCCAGTGCGCGGGATRGTGGATGGTGTTCTGATGGTGCTTGTTCTTCTTGTTCTTACAGTAGTACTTCCCCTACTGAAAGCGTTTTCGTTTGTTATTCCAATAACCTTCATCGTTGATTCCTTTYTTGGGAAGATTCTTAGGAACCAGTTCGATTGCCGTAAAGTAAARATAACTGGAACGGCGAAACGAACCCYAGTTTGCACCCCGAGAGTAGGTCATGCAATGCCAGAAATCCTTGCGATTACAATGGTGATGTTCGCATTGTTTCTGCTTTCGCACTATCTCGCCAAAAGAATACGGCAAGGAACACTGAAAGATGTCTTCACGTATTTCTATCACATATCAGGATTTGGATTCGCTATGATTTTTCTCCCTTGGGTTTTAGAAATGTTTGAAGAAGTAACACCACCCTGGGCCGATTATCTCGGAGTAAGTTTGGTGTTTCTAGTTTGGGTGGCCTTCCCCTCTCGCAGACACTATGCATTTAAAACTCTCGTTATCTTGGTGTACGCATACTTTGTAAAYTGGACCGTCTTTAAAACTCCTTTAGCTGGTATAGAATACGAAGATCAACTGTACGGGATTCTGGTTTGGATTTCAGTGTTTCTCTTGTGCATTGTTCCGTACCTTGGAGTAATGGGAATGTATGGGGGGCACCTTTTCGAAGAGTAAGTGTTCCATTTTATATTTTAGTGGTAAATATACTTGATATATAAGTACTTGAAATTAGATTCAGTCCTCGGCTGCGATGCATATCGTAACAGACGGATGTACAAGTAACTTWTATCATATTCCCATGGCGGCAAAGAATGAAAACACAAAKAATGAGAGTAAATGAAAGACAATGTCAATATCAACAAATTCAAAGAGAATGGTTCCTGTGTGTGGCGCAGTAACCAGTGGACAGGAGACAGGGTGTATGTGTTGCATCTCCCAATAAAACTAACAATCTTCAAGGAGGAGTTTCTTCTCACATCGTACGACATTGCAACATCTTATCAAATCCAACGGAATGATTCATTGAAAGTTTTTATTAAAATAATTGTTTTTTGAATACAGATGGAGACTGACGAGGGCGTATTTTTCTTCTGAGAGCACYAGGGCTTGTTGTTGGCATTCACGCTGTATAGATGAGACGACGGCCTTAACCTTTGCAGACCTGAAGGGCATGAAACCAGAATACAAATCCAATGTAACAGTTAATAATTGGCGTAAAACAGACGCCGAATGTGAAAAGGACTACGAGGTTCTCACCTTCTCCCCCACCGTCATCGAGAGGATTGATGGCAAGCACGCAGAGTTTAGTTCAGAAGAATTCATCAAACCAAAACACATGCGATTGTCTTGTGCTATGACAACATCAGGTTCTGCTATTGCACATGACGATGGCATATATCAAAAATCCCATAAGGACTCACGTGCAATAAGAGTTGTTCTTGGCCTTGGAATGGGAAGAAATTTGGTGTCTCAGACTCAAAACACCAAAGTCTGGATGCCAGTGGTAAGATTATAACCAGTGGRGAATGCATGACAGTGTCACGCAATGTCAATCTTAATCGTATCAACCTTACAAATTCAAAGTTTGTCGTAGTGATGTGGTTCTGTTGTTTGTGTTTGGAYCCACAACACTTTCCTACGAAGTTCACTTAATTCACGACTTTCAAAAATGGCGCGATATGTCACGGTCGACGATCAGAGCATTGGGGGCTTAGCACTAAAACGAGGTCTCGWAGGCCAGCCTTCGTATAGTTAACTTCGATGGTGTCTTGCAAAYTGTTTTGCTTTAAATAACATACCAATATATGTTTCAAACTTTGACACTGCCATACATGTGATCTATGTAGTGATTTCTAGATTTCCATGATTAATCATTAGTCCCCTGAGATTTGCGATCGTGAACTACCGCCATTTTTGAAATTCGTGTATACTAACTTCCACTAGTATCTACCAAACAGTGGGCTATCACAAATCCTGCATTCTGATTGGCTATTGAACTATAGTCTAATTCGTGTCAATTCAAAAATATTCCAGCCATTCTCTTTGATGTGAGCTTTTGCTTTTCACTGATTACAATTATGTTTTTAATTAAGGTTGTGACCTTKTTCGTTCAACTGATCTTTGCATGTGCTATGATTGTTGTCATCCTTGTGCTGGACGATGGAGACAAAAAGAGTTGGAGAACAGCTATTTTCATAGAGTCCATAGTCCTWATGGTATATTTTTTCCTGTTTGGTGTGATTTCCATAATACCAATAGGAAGTAAAGGATGCTATGGGAAAATAACTAGGTATAATAAAAACTATTCATGATGTCTTCGATACGTCTATAACAGGGCATTGAATAATTGATATTCCCTTATTAAAGAATTAGTTATATTTCGATATTTCATATAATAAAATGGTGGGAACTAGCGGTAAACTAGTGTGAGCTGCGTCGGTGTTTCTACAGAAACAGTTATGTAAAAAGATAAATTTAACACCGTAAAAAAGTATGTGGAATAACTTACTGACGTTTCGGATGTTAATCCTTCYGTTTCATATAATAAAAGGCTATCTTTCTCTTCCGATTTCCCCTGTCTCTCCTGTTACTATTTAAAAGAGCAGCCTCAAATTGCTTTATCGAGACACTTGGGGAAAGTAAGAGATAGAAAATCTCATGAGGTAGATATGAAATTTTACCGCGSCAAAATTGATTCATATAAATAAAAAATGTTGGAAACTAACGGTAAGATAGTGTGAAACAGTTGCTTAAAAAGATTAATTTTAACACAGTAAAAAGGGAGGTGAAAAAACTTACCGACATTTCGGACGTTATAATCCTCCGAAAAAGGATTTAGGCTCAAAACGTCAGTAAGTTGTTTTCACCTCCTTTTTTACGGGGTTAAAATTAATCTTTTTACACAACTATTAATATAAATAAATATTATTTGTGTAGATTCATCCATTTACATAAACTAAATTTTATATCTTTTGGTTTCATATAGGTGGTGTGTTATCAATATCTTCAACGTAAGGCTCCTAAGAGTGTTATTTGACATAATTGATGTTGGAGTTACTCCCCCTCCAGTATTGGCTTTAAGTGACGGCGGTCATCTTGAGAACTTGGGTCTGCTTCCACTTCTTAAACTACGCRTGTCACGTATTGTGGTGGTGAATGGAGGTGCCTTGGGACGTGGTGCAAATTATGCTACTGATCTTCTTAACGCATTACAGCAAGCTCGGGACAAGTTAAGATGTTCTTTRARGTCACACGACAATCGTGATGTCATCGAAGATATTCGGGATCGTTTTGTAGAAAAGGAAGAGGGCGAACAGCCGAGGAGTTATCGATTCAAAGTGCAGTATTATGAGAAAGATGACGGTGGAAATAAGTGTGTCGGTGAGGGAGAGATTCTATTTCTGATGCCACGGCACCCTAACGCTGGAGTGAGATGGCTTCAAGATAGCGACTGGAGTGATTTTGATGGTGACTTAGACTTGGACGAGTCCGTCTGGGGACCAGGACCAATTTTGKAAGCCTCTGAAGTTGATCGCCTTGCAGGATGTTGCTTTGAATGTTGCCATTCCCAGCGGTTTTCTCGCATTACAGTTCCATTATTGGGTGGATTTCCTTTCCATTCAACGGRAAACCAYTTGTTCACTTCCTCACAGCACACCGCTTACCARAGAGAAGGCTATCACGCATGCGTAGAGGCTGAAGCAGACGAGTTTCTTAACAAAGGTCAAAGTATTGAAATTATTACTAGCCAACCACAAGATAATGTCGCGTCACCTCCTTTGATAGAGGTTACAGGAGTTTGAAACTGTCAAATAGTGGAACCACAACATAGTGAGGAGCTCTTGAAAAACCGATCCATTCTTAAAAAAATCGATCCGATCCAATACTCCATTTCACAGTTACAAGCGCCATTTTGAAAGGTGACCAAGCCTTTGCATCAAAGCGAGACAGAAGTTGAACCTGCAATGATAGATACCTGTGAAGAATTGTCTTAGCMGTGAGAAAAAGGAATCATTGCATGCTTAACTCCTGTCTCGCTTTGATTCAAAGGTTTGCTTACCTTTCAAAACATCGTTTGGAACTGTAAAATGGAATATTGTGTACTTAGTAATAGATAGTGTATAGATAGTGTATAGATATGATTTATAGATATCATATAATCAATACGGATTCAATATCACTCATTCCCAATGGTGTACTTGATGTTCAGTGCGATCAGTGCATAGATAAAGGGAGGTTGAAGGGGTTTCATGAGTGTTCCAGCTTAGGTTTTTCTTTTTTTTTTCCTGATCTGATTGTAAAGCGCATTCGATTATTTGGTAGTTTTCATGCACTATATAAATTCTATTATTATCATTATAATTATTATAGTCATTACGTGTCCAATATGCTTACATATTCAGTTCATAAACAGTATATAATCACAGTCGGCCGTATTCAATATCATTAACGACATTGTGCTTTAATATCCCGTTAAGTTCTCATTGACGGTCTTTAAACAAAAACTTACATAGTCTACTCAATCACTCCCTTTGGTAAGGGATCCCCCCCTTCCAAAAAAGAGCGCATTGTCTGCAGTCTTAATATTCAAATGTCTTGACAATAAATATAATAAGTTAAAGCCTCCTGAGTTAACTATTTGCAGTATACAATAAGGGTTTTAGTCCTATGAGCCCTGGCGACCGAAGCTCAACGGAGCGTATGTAACAGGGTTTGGGACTACTAAAGTTTAGTTCTCGAAAGCCGAAAATGGTAGTTGTCATTGCATTGAGAATCAATCCTCAGTATCAACGAAAGTAATTATAATGAACAAACCACCAGGGGCGGATCTACGATATTTTTAAGGGGCGGCAGTAAAATGGCGCGAACTTTTGGCGGGAAATTTGCATGGTGGATTAGTTTAATTTGAGAACGTAWCAAATAGAATTTTCCCACTAAAATCAGCGAATTAATTAGGAAACTAGCTAKTTCACTTGTTATTTTTCATTTTAGAAGATTTATTTGTTTAAAAAAATGTACGCGAATTTAATTTTTCCCAAATTCGCCACTGCACACCGAACAGCTAGGACTGACAGGTACATTTGGTGAGCCAGTAAACTCATTTTGAGTTCCGCCATACTTTTCTTTGAAATTTCGATTCCGAGGTCATTGGCGGGAATTACATGTATTTGACTTGTCACTGTATCCTTTTTTCACTGTTATTTTGCGAAACTTTGCCTAACCYAACAAAATGGTGTCAAAACTGTCTATTTCGTCTTTTCTGGCTGGCTGTCTAGCTARTATGCAAGAATKTTCCTCTCCTGCTTGGAGCSACTTAGGATTCTTCTTGCCGTCGGCCAATAGCAACGGCCAATAGCCATCCAGAACGTGGTCGTTTGAATTTTTATGTCAACATTAACCCCTACTGTTTATCTCTGCATTACGATCAGTCTGCCACAAGCGAGACATGCAGACTGTKGGGTCATCAAAGCACGACGGAGAAAGCCCATACGAAAGACTGAGCTGCTTCATTTGAAAGGTATATTAAGGTATATTATTATACACTAGCTTGCAATCTTCCAAATACCGTGCGATGAGTTTCGGTATATAATTGCTATGACTAGTTGATATCCACATAATTGTGCCAACCAGTGATTTTAGATGAAGGCAATCAACTCAGAATCACGATATTCTCGTGGGCGGATCACAAAGAGATCAGTGAGATCTCGATCACATTTTGGAATCAAGGACCACTATTTTCTGAAGTAAACTATACAAATATCACTGACTTCAATACCCTCGTCACGACCTGCTGGAGGGTTCTTATCATTGTTATCTGACAATTAAATATGATCAAACATGTGCTACAGTCGAAGGTCTTTTGCTTATTGTCTTTTAACCAAACCAATAACCGTGCTAAAGAGTCATTCAGTCGAAGAGTCTATAGTTTCACAAGACCACCGAWCGAAAACACACGGAGAACACGAGAACAGCGCCCAAGACATGTGATTTTGATGACGATTGGCAGACCTTTTGTAAAAATAATTACTCATAATAATTTCATTTCGACTGTAAATTCTTGAAGACAATATTTGCCTATTTAAAATGACTGCGACTTCCACGTATTTTGAAATATMCCGCGATAGCTCTAAACATTTATTGCATGTCCATTATTACATATAGGTCAGAGTCCATGAGGCCGTGCTTAATAATATGTTTTGTTACTTATATTTATGCTGCTTTTCGCGGAGTTTTAATGATGCAACCTTTTGTGAAAGCTGTTGTTCTTTTGTGGCTTGTTCCGTACCTTGGAATATTTGAAATGTATGGCGGCCATCTTTTCGAAGAGTAAGTATTGATACAGAGAAACGATTATTAATGTACGTGAAAATCATCCCATCACACACGATGTAACACAACAGATACTTACGTAGGAATTTGAAAAGAAAACAATTCTCGTAGCACCAGGATGCATCGTATTCCCGATAAAAATGCACGTGCACCGTGCGAATTGTTCCCTTTGTTTTGCAAATGATCTCTCGTTATTAGAAGGTGCTTTCTGAAAGGWTTAAAATCTAAGATTGCGAATTTTCGTATGTGATTTAATGACATTTTTATTGTTATATTTATTGCTTCTTTACAAGTTGTATTGTTATTTCAATCTTCTTATTGTAAAGGGCGAAAGGAAATTGAAAGTCCAGTTATAAGAGAAGAACAAATTTTTCAAGGGAAGCTTGTGATTGATCGAGACAGCAAAAACAAAGAATTGTATGATTATGTCACTGAAAATGCCTATTGTTGTACTGAACATCTTGGTTTTTTGTATTGCATGTCTCTCTTTGTTATTTCATCAAATCACAATCTTTGTTCTAACAGTGGTACAAGGTTGTTRAAGGAAGTTTGAAAACTAGCCCCAGTTCCCGCTCTGTGTATGCACAAATTTTTAACGGCACTTTCTTGTAAACAGGTGGAGACTTACGAGGGCATTTTTTTGGTCTAAGACCAAAGACCCCACATGTGGTGCAGACTCCATAAATAACAAGGATTTAACTTTTGAGGACATAAAGGACATGCGACCACAATACCAATCTAACGTAACAGTTAATAATTGGTTTAAATCAAGCGACCATTCTACTAAAAAGGACTACGAGATTTTCACCTTCTCCCCCACCGTCATTGAGCGGATTGATTGCCAGGAAGATGAAGTAGGGTTTAAATCAGATAGTTTTATTAAGCCAAAAGACATTCCATTATCTTGTGCTATGACAACATCGGGTTCTGCTATAGCTTATGACCTTGGCAAATATCAAGATGCTCATCAAGACTCCCGTACGATAAGAGTTGTTCTTGGCCTTGGGATGGGAAGAAATTTGGTGTCTCAATACACCAAAGTCTGGATGCCAGCGGTAAGATTATGACTATTACAGATTGCATTACAGTGTCACGCGTGACTCTTAATCACCGTACAGCAATGCCAACATCATCACGGATCAATATCAAAAGTTAGTCTCACTGATCGGATGTTTTTTTCTATCCAAATGGTTTCAATAATAGCTTTTGTTTTTTAACAATTTCAGTCTTTATTTATTCATTTTTTTATTGGATTTAGGTTGTGACCTTCTTGGTTCAAACGGTCTGCGCTGGCGTTATCATTGGTGCCGTTTTAATGTACGACGGAGCAAAAGAGGGCTCGACTAAGAAGATGTGGAAAATCGTCACTGTTGTACTCCTTGTGTCCTACTTTGTGATTTTTGCTTTGCTTTCCATAATACCGATAAATTTTGGAGAACATAAAATCAAATGGTTCATCAGGTATAAAGTGATTTTTCAATYTAATGTAATCATGTTGTAGGAAGATATACCCCCTACTCCACTCACCCCCGGGAGTCAGTTTTATCTATGCAACTGATGTGAATAGCCGACTTGCGAATTACGCATCAATAGTCACATACAAAGGAATCAAGACGAGGCGCCGTGCTGTCTTGTGAAAAATCTATTGTCTTTAGCACGGCGCCTCGTCTTGATTCCTTTGTATGTGACTATTGATGCGTAATTCGCAAGTCGGCTATGYTACTAGCGTACATAGATCAAAATCTTTACTGAATGGGGCTCCATGGGGAAAATAAAAATGAGGTAAAGCCAATCATACTTTATGTACAGGTGTACTGAAGAAGTATCTTTTGCATACATTATTCCATTTTCATAACCTAAATCATGTGTTTCTGTTATGATTTTAAGGTGGTGRATCATCAATATCTATAACGTGAGGCTTCTCAGGATGTTGTTTGACATAACTGATGTTACTTATCCTTCTAAGGCTCACGCTTTCCCTCCCCCAGTATTGGCTTTAAGTGACGGCGGTCATCTTGAGAACTTGGGTCTGCTTCCACTTCTTAAACTACGCCTGTCACGTATTGTGGTGGTCAATGGGGGTCTCTTGGGACCTGGTGCGAATTATGCTACTGATCTTCTTAACGCATTACAGCAAGCTCGGGACAGGTTAAGATGTTCTTTTAGGTCGGCAGACGAACATCGTCGCGATGTCATCGAAGACATTCGGGATCAATTCGTAGAAAAAGAAGAGGGCAAACAGCCGAGGAGTTATCGATTCAAAGTGCAGTATTATCAGAAAGAAGGCACTCAAAATACGTATGTTGGTGAAGGAGAGGTTTTATTTCTGATGCCHAGACATCCAACAAAAGGTTTAGTGAGTGACGTTAAGAATTTAACATGGAGTGATTTTGATGGTGACGTAAAGAACTTGAAAGAGTCGGACTGGGGATCAAAACCAGCTTTGGAAGCTTCGGAGGTTGATCATCTTAACGGATGTTGCTTTGAGTGTTGCCATTCCAAGCAGTTTTCTCGCATCCCATTTCCATCATTGGGAAGATTTCCTTTTCATTTGACAAAAAACCAATTGTTCACTTCCTCACAGCACACCGCTTACCACAGAGAAGGCTATCACGCATGCGTAGAGTCTAAAGCAGTTGAGTTTCTTAACAGCGTTGGTCAAYGTCCAGAAGTAGTTACAGAGCAACCGCAAGGAGCTGCCACTCATTCGGTTAACGAAAAGAAWAAGAAAAAATGACCGATATACGTGCCATTTAGGCCACAGACAGTATAAAACTTGTATTCAATACAAATATTGTGATTAGATATTCAGTTTATGGACAGCATAGAATCACAGTTTGTGTTCAATTGAGTCATTTTCATCCGTCTGTGAAACAAGTACTACTAGTCAGTGTTTACAAGTAACTATCAGGGTGTAGTCGTCTACCAAAAGGCAAAGCCATTTTTGCCTAATTGAATAGTATTTAATAGTACAATTCACAGACTGATGAAAATGACTCTAGTATCCAGTTAGATCTTTTCTTAGTCAATTCTATAAATGTTTTATAGGTCATGCGTTATTTCACTACTATAATAGGTGGACCATTGCAGACATTTTATCACCGTACTTCACATGTATCTTTTCTGTCTCATCTAATTTCTATACGTTGATCCTGTTGATGACTCGCGTGAAGATTTGTTTAGGTGTATATTATCAGTATTAAGGTAATAGTTGAGTYTAATTGTGTTYKAAATATACAGAAATTCAGATTAAARTCYTYAGACTTCGAATTATTTCATTGTTTTCTATGCTCACAGTTGTTTTGCATTTTCACGGGTTATTGCTAAATGATATATTCTAATAGACTGAATAGATTATATGGTTTTGAGAAAAGCAATCTCGCCAAATCCCAACCCCCTTAATCCCCCCACCAACATTCAAAAAGAGTCGTCAAGAAGTGACGCAGAATTCTCGAGCATGACTGGTTTGACGTCACGTACACTATAGGAGCACGAATGAATATAAATATGGTCATGTAATAACCATTATGCGAGACTGAAAGCACTTAACTTATGAGTCGATTCAATTAACGTAGGAAGTTGCTGCTGTTCACTGGATAATATAAGGTAAGTAATAAAATCATTTTGTGTTGGGAATACACTCAAGGAAACTGCCAATAAATAAGGCAAAAGAGTGATTGTAGTCATAAATATAGCGTGTTATCTCCTGTCGCTATATATTCACGTGGACATCTATCTTATATCTAGAATGTCTTTACCTACAACGTCGTAAAACAGATATATGTGCTTTAATAGTAGCCAGTTAGCATCAGTTCAATTAACTGCACTAGTCTTTTGCAACGTCTTTTCATGATAATCATTCTGAAACTTGTGGAATGGAGCATACGATTAAAAGCACGTCTTTTCATAATTGAACGCTGACACTCATTCAAGCATTTTATATGAAAATCTAAGCCTTAATAGGATGGTATATGAACGATATCCATAACATAAAGGGATGCCACTATGTCAATGATCCTTAGTTTTCTAGTGAATCTTATTGACGTTGTTCATTGTTGAAAAGACAACATGATACGAATTCACATCGTTTTGATGGTGCATGATACCGAAGCGTGATCCCTGATTTGGAAGTTCACGATCTCAATTTCAAGCYTGTAATCCCTAATTCAACAACCTTAGACACGACCGTTATGATGATTAACRCATTTAACTAATTCTAATCTGTGAAAATTGTACAAATTGTTCATTACACGATCTAGAAATCTATGCTTTGATTTTCCAGTTTAATGAACATTCTTTAGTTCTAGTGGTAAATCCTATTGTCAAGACAAAGTATACAATACAARTTGATAAATAATTTTCTCAGCCAGCGACGTGCTTTTTTTTGGCATTGATTCGCGGACGGACAGCTAAAATTTGAGCGCGTACATATTACCAGAATCGTACAAATACCTACAGTTGTTACAAAGCAATTGACATCTTATGACATACATGTAGAAATATTGGCACTTATTGTACACAATACATTTTAGGATTCATCAACAGAGCTTAGCTGCTATCAACATGGAGTCACCAGAAGACATCAAAACTGGTGTAGCATTTTCTGGCGGTGGAGTCCGTTCAGCAGCCTTCTGTTCTGGTGTTCTACGAAGATTACTACAAAAGAYAGTCGCCATCGACTATTTGAGTAGCGTGTCTGGTGGTGGATATACAGCCGCGTCGTACATGGAATGGAAATACCGTAACGGCAAAAAGGACGATCCAGCCTGGCACAAAGAGTACTTTGAGAATTTACGAAAGCACATCAARCCATTATGTGATTGCTTCAATCCAGTGCGCGGGATTYTGGATGGCYTTATAGTGATTTTTTTGTTAATATTCCTGTCAGTTGGACTTACACTTTTGAGAGCGTTTGCTTTTGTCATGCCAATAGCCTTTGTTGTCGATAGCTTGTTTGGAAATATTCTTCGAGATCAGTTCACTTGTCATGAAGAAAATGCCAATAAAACCATCCAAGGAATTCCAAAAGACGAACTGCTCAAACTATGCATTCCAAAATTTGGCCCCAACATGGAAGTAATGTTTCAATTAACCTTCTCATGGCTCMCAGCATTTGTTCTTACATTCTATCTTAGCACTATAGTAAGACTTCGAACTCCTAAATATGTTTTGAAGTTTCTCTATCAGTTAACGGGATTCGGATCTGCGATGATTTTTCTTCCGTGGATTCTCGAATTGTATAGCAGCTTTACTCCTCCCTGGGCAAGGCAGTTCTTAATTGGAYCAGTGTTCATTATATGGCTGTTCTTCCCCTCATTAAGAGAAAAAGCTTTCTTTGCGCTGGGTATTTTGGTATATGCGTATTGCACCAAGTGGACCATTTTCAAGACACCCCTTGCCTCGGTGGAATACACAGACAATCTGTACTGGATATTTGTTTGGGTTTCAGCAGTTTTAATGTGGTTGCATCCATACATGGGGGTGTTGCAAATGTACGGTGCCCATTATTTTGTAGAGTAAGTGCTCTCACTTTTTTCACATCAAGTTTTTTGCATCAGATTTTGTAATTATGACACATGCAATGTGACATTTTTCCATTTGTGTAGTTCTAAAATGGTCTAGAATGTCGGGTGTTTTTTAGTGGAGAAATGACAAGGCATTTTAAACTTCTATATATGTAGAAATTAGYGAATGTTGCACGTGCAGAAGCTGAATATACATCAAGTCACGTGACAACTGGAACATTGGATATGTCGTTATAGGTGGACAACKTTTATAAGTTCGGCTGTCACTGATAGTTACAACCGTTCACTTGATAGCCACGACTGTACATAAAATTGCCACTCTAGCACAGAATACATACAATGTTGCATTATATCAAAATATATATTTTTTGTTTTAGATGGAGACTGAAAAGGGCCTATTTCTCTTCGAAGAGTAGAATGGCCAATACCTACTTTAGTAAAGCATTAACCATGGCGGATCTTGAAGGCATYGAACCAGAATACAAAACCAATGTTACAATAAATCAATGGCGTAAAACAAATAACGACTTTGAGAAGGATTGCGAGATTCTCACATTTTCCTCTAAAAGCTTGGAACGGATTGATCGCAAGGAGAAAGAAAAAGAGTTCAGAACGGAAGGATTCATTAAGCCAAAAGACGTTCGACTATCGTCCGCCATGACAACGTCTGCGTCTGCTATATCATATGATGATGGMGAATTACAAGATGCTGAGAAATCTTTCCGTGAGATTAGAGTTATTCTTGGTCTTGGATTCGGAAACAATTTAGTGGCACAGATAGGGCTCACCAAAATCTGGATGTCATCGGTAAGAAAATAACAAGTTAAGAACACGAAAAACGTARAACAAGGTTAAATTGTTAAYCATGCATACAACAACTCTAACGATGCGGTTAAGTTTTCAGTGAATCGTGCTCAACATATAGAAAAATCCCATGCTTTTAATGAATAAAGAGCAATATATGGTAATATCCTAATATTACATTTTCTTGATATAATGATATATTTTTTTGTATGGAAGGTCGTAACGATGTTCATTCAAATATTCTTTGGTGTGATTGTCATCGCAATCCCTGTTGCACTTTACRTTGGGGCATTAAACGACTGGGACCTTTGGAAWAGAGTGCTTCTCATCGTTCTTTTGTCATATTTTGTGGTACTTGCACTGATAGCAGTCATCCCAACAGAAGACACTGGATGCGGTGAGAATGTAACTAGGTAGGTGTTTGTTATGCAAGTAAACCAACCCTATATTTTTAAATTTAACTTTGCATACATTYTTGTTTTAAGGTGGTGCATCATAAATGTTCTTCATGTCAGGCTCATACGAGCTATATTTGGTATTACTCATGTTGGATCTACTCCCCCTCCTGTCCTGTCTCTCAGCGATGGCGGTCACACGGAGAACCTGGGTCTGCTTCCTCTGCTGAAACTCCGCCTACCACGTATCGTGGCTGTAAACGGAGGTGCCTTGGAAATCGGCGACGATTACTCCACAGATCTTCTAAAAGCTATTAAGCAAGCTAGGAAGAAACTACGATGCTCTTTCACAGGAGTCAGTGGTCGAGACATAGAAGAGGATATTCGCGATCATTTCGTAGAAAKAGAAAAGGGCGAGCAGCCGAGAAGTTATCGATTTAAAGTTCAGTATTWTAAAAAAGATGACTTTGAAAATAAGTGTGTTGGTGAAGGAGAGATTRTGATGTTGATGCCAAGACACCCAGACGATGGAATGAGACAATTTCAAAATTGCAAGTGGAGCGATTTTGATGGTGACGTCAAACTAGATTTGGACGAGTCTGCCTGGGGACCAGGACCAGCCTTGAAGGCCTCTGAAGTTGATCGTCTGTCAGGATGTTTCTGCGAGTGTTGTCATACAAAACCGTTCAATTTTATCATGAATTCCCTCTTTTCTGGGTTCCCCTTTCATTCGTCTTTCAACCAAATGTTCACACCCGCTCAGTTCAGTGCTTACCATAGGGAAGGCTATCACGCATGTCTTGAAGCTAAAGCTGCTGACTTTCTTGGGAAATGTCAAAACGCCGAGGTCATAACTACGCAACCGCAGCGCTCCGATGTAACAGTAATAGATGTTGCAGAATTTGGATCTTGACTTCTTTGAAATACTTGCATCAGGATCTTCAACAGGGACGTATGATCATTTAGTTTTGGATATAGCCGAATTCCAAGTCAAATCCATGTTTGGAAGTGGCATGTCGCTTTCTAGCATTAACAAACATGTTTTGAACTCATTTCGATAGATTAAGAACTTGTTCCGAAAACTAGTGCACCGTTTGAGTTTTGAAAAGTGTCCAAAGGACATGTTACCACTGTGCATTGGGCCCGTAAACCCAGAATGTGTTTAATGATAAAGTTGGAAGTTTTAATTTTTAAAACTTTTTAAAACTTTTTWAAAAAAAAGGTTAAATAAAACATAYTTAATAAGGAATTTACTCGTAATTTATTGTACCAAGATACGCACACTACATCTCTAACAAGTGGTATTTTTATCGTTAGAACTAAAATGCAAATGTCTTCAAGTTATCAATCATAAAAAACACAAGCTAGTTCTCGATCAGTCGTTACTTTTCGCCGGCATTGACTAGAACAATTTTGGCGATAATATCTCCAATTGTTGGAATCACTGCGAAGTCAAAATCCCTTCCCGACTATTTATTATCTATTGCAACTATCCTGGCAAAGTGTGGACGAGGCTGTTGAGCAAGCGTTCATCTATTTTAGAACTTGTCAAAAATAGTCTCATTTGCATCCTATTTATACGCCAACATAAATGATGTATTTCAAATGACATTTTTGGTATTTGCTTTTTCGTACAAACGTGATGTCTTAGGAAATAGTGGGTGTTTTATACTCTAGTATATCAATCTATAACGATTCCATTAACGATGACGCATGATCTTTATTGTTGGTTAATTCTAATATATGTTCATGTATAAAAGAAATGACGAGAGTCTACGTGCTTCAGCTRATTAAGTGCATCAAGTGTGACCGTTTTAAGTTATTCAAGTCACAGCAACAGAGCGAAACCATAGAGCAAGTGCAAGATACTGAGCAAATTAGCAATACCAAGCTAAGACTGCCGTTTTCTCTAAAAAGGTAATGTAGCACCACTAAGTAGTTACTTCAGTTGTCCAACTTATCATATGTGCTATATATATAGGCATATGAACATGTGATTCGGATGAATTCTCAAGTAAATCTTCTCTCTTTTTTGAGCATGCATTCAAACGTTTGGTAAATCTAAAGTATAATTTTCAGATAGCTTGCCTTAGAAAGTTGTTTTATTCCATATAGAATGCTAACTTGCATATTCAAATGTCGTGTTRGATGTCCTAATTCCTTACCATTTCACTTAATCAAAGGTATTTCATGAAGATTCCAAGTTATGCACGAATAACTAATACAATTACGCAGCTAATTCCATAAACCTTCAAAGATTTATTCTAAAGTAGATTKAAAAAAAACWCTTCAGTTGAAAAAGACATYTCTTGTTATTAYTAAYAACTTCTATATCAAGYCTTTCAAATGATATTTTTATGACTTAGTAGCTGTAASATCACAACATAATAACAGGCCAAAATCACACATAAAGAGTTTTTATCAAATGACACATAATAATTAATTAAGTTCTCGACAATAAATAGAAGTCATCACAAGAATGAACTATACGGTAAGCTGAGTTTTAAGGCAGTAATGTAGTACCAATTGAAACCTGCTTTTTGATTGCTCCTTAAGTACAGCACCACTATTGTTAGGTTAGGTTTTGTTATATTGTTGGAAGACTTATCTATTGTTTGTCCATTGTTTTCTCAACCTATCATGAGACCCGTTCCGAGCGGTGCTACCTGGCTCCAGTCATCCCCTTGTTCCCTATGAACTGTTTTGTTGTATAAGATGCTTGAGCTCTATAAAGAACACAATTAATTAAATCATCGTATTCATGAAATTATCTCYTACTTCGTTTAGATATCAAGCCGTACGCATCCATTTCCCTCAGAATGACATCCACAACTGGTCTGGCATTTTCTGGTGGAGGCACYCGATCAGCAGCCTTGTGTTCTGGTGTTCTAAGAAGATTACTACAAAAGAGAGTCGCCATCGACTATTTGAGTAGCGTGTCTGGTGGTGGGTGCACAGCTGCTTCCTACATGGACTGGAAATATCACAATTTGAAGAAGGATGATCCAGCTTGGCACAAACAGTACTTCGAGAATTTACGAAAGTATGCTAACCCTCTATGTGATTGCTTTAGCCCTGTCCAAGCGTGCCTGGATGGTGTTGTCCTATTGCTGTTGGTGCTCTTCTTCACAGTTGGAATTTCACTGCTAAGGGCATTCTCGTTTATAATACCAATAACCTTTATCGTGGATTTCCTATTTGGGAAAGTTCTTCGCGATCAGTTCACTTGTCATGGTGAAAATGCTAATAAAACTATTGAAGGAATTCCAAAGGAGAAACTGARCACARTGTGTATTCCAAAAGTTGGCCCCAACATGGGAGTAATGTTTCAATTAACRTTCTCATGGCTCGCAGCGTTTGTTCTTTCATTCTARCTTAGCACTGTAGTAAGACGTCGTACTCCTAAATACATATTGAAGTTTCTCTATCAGTTGACGGGACTTGGCTTTGCAATGGTATTTCTGCCTTGGTTTTTGGAATTATATCGCAGCTTTACCCCGGGTTGGGCAAGGTATTTCTTACTGGGATCGGTGTTTATAGTAGCACTGTTCTTTCCAGCATTAAGAGACAGAGCTTTCTTTGTCCTGTTTATTTTGATATTCGCGTACTGTGTCAAGTGGGTAGTGTTTMYGACACCAATCGCTGGTGTTCCATATTCCGATAAGCTATACTGGAAGTTGATTTGGGCTTCGGCGGCTGTTTTGTTGATTCATCCTTACTTGGGTGTCATTCAGATGTATGGTCTTCATTTCTATTTGGAGTAAGTTTCATAGAATGTCATACGTTCTATTTTTTATCCTTGCTTATTATTATTATTATTATTAATTCTTTTTTTAATTTTTTTAATTATCATTATTATTATTTATTACTATACTATTTGTTCTCTTTAGTCCATCGTTACGGACTTGCTATTTTAAGTTGTTCTTTTTTTACTTTCTTTAAAGGTGGAGACTTAGCAGGGCTTACTTTTCTCCCGAGAGGAAGCTTTGTGATGTTACTGGCCTTCGGGAAAAGAGAACCAAACCTCTAATGTTCGGCGATCTAACTGACATTCAACCAGAATACAAATGTAATCTGACAGTCAATAACTGGCGCAAAACAAGCTCAGAATTCGAGAAGAGCTATGAGGCCCTTGTTCTCTCCCCAACAGTCATCGAGCGCATTGATCGAGGCAAAAACGAAGTTGAGTTTGACTCAAAAGATTTCGTTAAACCACAAYACATCCGATTGTCGAATGCAATGACAACATCTGTTGCTGTTTTATCATACGACGTGGGTAAAATGGAAAACTCTGATAAGTCATACCGTGAAATAAGAGTCGCGATGGGACTAGGGATAGGAAACATTATGGTGGCACAGAAAGGACTCAAGAGAGGTTTAAAGTCATGGGTAAGAAAGGCTTTGATTCACGATCATTGTTTGAAGAGGCCATCACGGTTATTAGATTAAAGTATGGTTGATTTAATGCTTGATAGTTGTTATGGCTTTTTAGTGATGGTAATTAAAGGAGTAGAGTTAGTCTGGTAGTTGTTTCTGGTAGTTAGATGGTAGTTGTTTCTGGTAGTTAGATAGTAGTTGTTTCTGGTAGTTAGATGGTAGTTGTTTCTGGTAGTTAGATGGTAGTTGTTTCTGGTAGTTAGATGGTAGTTGTTTCTGGTAGTTAGATGGTAGTTGTTTCTGGTAGTTAGATGGTAGTTGTTTCTGGTAGTTAGATGGTAGTTGTTTCTGGTAGTTAGATGGTAGTTGTTTCTGGTAGTTAGATGGTAGTTGTTTCTGGTAGTTAGATGGTAGTTGTTTCTGGTAGTTAGATGGTAGTTGTTTCTGGTAGTTAGATGGTAGTTGTTTCTGGTAGTTAGATGGTAGTTGTTTCTGGTAGTTAGATGGTAGTTGTTTCTGGTAGTTAGATGGTAGTTGTTTCTGGTAGTTAGATGGTAGTTGTTTCTGGTAGTTAGATGGTAGTTGTTTCTGGTTGTTAGATGGTAGTTGTTTCTGGTAGTTAGATGGTAGTTGTTTCTGGTAGTTAGATGGTAGTTGTTTTAAAAGTGGTAGCACTGGTGATTCTCCTTAATGCCATTTCTTAATATATATCCCTGCAAAATGTTCATAGTCACCGAATGTACTGTTCTAGGAACTTTAATAGAGCGCAATAACCAACCTCAATTACATTACAATTACATTAGGCTATCGAACCCCATTTAGATCGAAAGAAGTTTTATTGAGATGATTTTAAGCTGAACATCCTAAATCCAGATTTGTAAATATTTATATAATATTTTATTTCTATTTTAAATACTGTCTGATGAGTGCGTAAGCACGAAACTCGGAGKAACAGAAAATCTTGCCTCTTCGTCATTACACATATACTTAGATCTACACTATATGTGTATTGAGCACTCTTTAACGGGATCAGCTACTTTCTCATATGATAATATTTTATTTCTATTTCATTATTAAACTTTTTTCGTTCTTTTCTCTTTAGGTTAAAATTTAAAAATAATTACATCATAAAACAAGAATTTAAAATGAATATTCTCTTTTCTAGGCAGTGACGCTGCTTCTCCAAGTGATTTTCGGATCTGTCATCACTCTTATTCCTGCGGGACTTTACTTTGAAATACTTGTCGACTGGTACTTTTGGCAGGAGATCATAATGGCACTCCTCTGTACTTCATTCATAGTATTAGGATTCATTGCTGTGATGCCAACAGATCTCGGAAAAGACAACAAAGGGATTTTTGGTACATTTATAAGGTAACTTTATCGTTTGCAATATTTTAACATCAATTATTAACACCACTCTTGGTGCATTCTTCACACCTTTTGTTACTTTCCTTTCAGGTGGTGCATCATTCATATTCTCCACATAAGACTTATACGAACCTTTTTAGGTATCGAAGACGTGGGATCGACACCTCCTCCAATTGTTTCCTTGACAGATGGTGGTCATACCGAGAATTTGGGTTTACTTCCTTTGTTCAAGCTCCGTTTGAAACGCATTGTAGTCGTTAATGGTGGCACACCGAGTAAAGGTGGCAATTATGCCACCGACCTTCTGGAAGCCTTACGGCAAGCCCGAGAAAAACTACGATGCTCTTTTATAGCAATCAGTGGTCGGGACATTGTTGAGGATATTCGTGATCACTTCGTAGAAACAGAAAAGGGAAAAAAGCCAAGAAGTTATCGATTTAAAGTGCAGTATTATGAAAAAGACGATTTTGAACCTAAGCTTGTTGGTGAAGGAGAGGTTTTGATGTTAATGCCAAGACACCCAGACGATGGAATGAAACAATTCCAAGATTACAAATGGAGCGATTTTGATGGTGACYTCAAACTAGACTTGGACGAGTCKCTTTGGGGTCCAGGACCAGCATTGAAGACCCCTGAAGTTGATCGTCTATCAGGTTGCTGCTGTGAATGCTGTCACTCGAAGCCATTCAATTACATTCTGAATTCTTTGATGACTGGATTTCCTTTCCATTCAACCGTCAACCAAATGCTTACATCCAGTCAGTATACTGCCTACCACAGAGAAGGCTACCACGCATGCGTAGAAGCTGAAGCAGACAAATTTCTTGGAAAATATCAAAGTGATGAGGTCATTACCACCCAACCACAAGGCTTCCATGACTTCAACATATCACAAGGCACACTAACATCCACAGTTATAAATGTTA